GGCTAAATGTTCTCTGTGAGCTAAAGGCTAAATGTTCACTGTGAGCTAACGGCTAAATGTTCTCTTTTGAGCTAATGGCTAAATGTTCTCTGTGAGCTAACGGCTAAATGTTCTCTGTGAGCTAACGGCTAAATATTCTCTGTGGGCTAAAGGCTAATTCTGCTTTTAGATAACATCAAACTATTTTCTAAGCTAACAGCCATTGTTGCCCTCTGAGCTAACAGCTAATTGCGCCATTGTGAGCTAACAGCTAATACATTCCATCTAAACCATCTAATTCTGCTTTCTCGGCTAAAAGCTAACAGCTAGTTCTGAACTTGGCCATCAGCTGATTCTGCTCTCGGCTAACAGCTAACTGTGCTAACAGCTAACTGTGCTCTGAGACGTTTAGCAGCAGTTTGTGACTGTTGTCGTGTTGATCTCTTGAACTCTGGTTGATCAGAGGACTCACCTCAGTGTCCATGTTGTTACTCGGACACACACACACACACATCACCACCCTCCGCCCTCATCAACACACCTTGGTCCACACCAGTGATGCCTGTTGGGAACTGATGAGGTTCGTTGTCAGGTTCTGAAGTGAAGCAGCAGAAACACAACATGCACATGTGCAAACTTCATGGAAGCAGAGTGGCGCTTTGTGTCTGAACCCAAGTGTGTGTCAGCTGCCTGCTGCCTGACTCAGTGTGGTGAATCAGAATGGGGTTTCCTGTGTGATCAAACAGAATAAATGATTTTATAAAGCTCCCGTTTGTTCAGGTCAGAACAAGAATTGTCAAAAAGTCATGCATGCGAACGGAATTTTTTTTTTTACAAGTAATACAAGTTGAGGACTTTCTAGGTTTACAGTGAACTGTTGTATTAACATCACACAGGCCTCGTTCACACTGTTGCTCAAACCGATGCGTGTAAAAATCTGACAGTGGCTAATACAAACTTTAAAAACCATGACTCATTCAACTCAGTTGAACAAACAAAGACACATGTTAAAGATACTACAGACTTCTGTCCTGAGCACTAAACTCCACCAAAGTTTTATTTTACGCCGTCTGCACACAAAATGGAAAATATCCAATGATGTTACACAGCTTTTTGAATTCACTGTTATGAAGAGAAGGTTTCATCCACATCTGAGGATGGAAGAGAGACCGTGAGAGCTTTGTTTTGTGAAGTCGTCGTTTCAGCCCAGACTCCTGGAAATCATACAAACTACACATGCCTGGAAATTATATTTAGAAACTTAAGATACCTGAAAATTATATTCACAATAAAGAATCCTAGAAATCACATTTATAAAGTGAAGAAGCTGTTTTTCTTCTCTCGCTCTCAGATCTGTTCATCCTGCAGTGCTAAAGTGGCCACATGTGATGTATGAACAGTGAATAGTCATTAAGACTGATTCTGAGTCAGTAGAGCTGTAAAGACAAGTTGGTCCATCGATAAGTCAATGGAGAGAAAATGTGAATGAGGAACTCATTAACTTGTACAGGTCAAACGTCACGGTGATATTATATAGATAATGGAAATAAGTGACATCAGTATCTTTGTAAAGTTGGTTAAATTCGAGATTATTATCCTTCAGATGCTTCTGGTGTTTTGAACAGTTTTTTTTATTTCTGGGAAATTCTGCTTCTCACTCATAAGAAACTGAACTTGTGATTTCTCACGTCATTGTCTTTATACATTATTAAATGTTTGCCTCAGCTCAGCAGACACACACAGTCAGTGACCGGCCGATGAACACAAAGTTAAAGGTTCAGTGTGTAGAATTTAGTGACATCTAGTGTTGAAGTGTCATGTTGCAGCTGAACGCCTGCTGAAATGTGATTCAGCGTGGTTAAAGTTAAGAAAACTGCTGCTGGAGGTTTGTTTGTACCAAGTGACTGACTCTAGTTGTTGTTTTTTTAGCGAACAAACGTACGTGACTCACAACAATTGTGTCATCGGAGCAGTTTTTATTGATTTTTATGAAGAGTTAGACACAAATGAACAAACAGCTCATTTCAACTCAGTGGTAACGATGCTCTGAATATATTCTGTACAACACACACACACACAAACATGATGGTGTATCTGCTCGGTCGGGATAAGATATAATCATATATATGTTTAGATCAATATGTTCACACGTATTATTTAGGAAATGTAGGGAAAACTAGGAAGCACGCAAGACCAATAATAAAAATATAATAACATTCATAATGCTCAAATAATACAAAATAAACACAACAGAACATTGTCAACAAACACAGAGTATCTCTCACTGTACCGACGAGTGTTTTTCCTACTTGGCATAAAGCATTTCTTTTCTTTTCACGTACATGGAGCTGAGAGAAAACACTGCGTCTGTGAAGGCCGTGGGCAGAAACGGGTGCAGCCGGAAGAAAACCTGGTCCAGCACTGAAACCAGCAGGTATCTGTACTTCGGCTGCCGGGACATGACTGCGTGCATCATGGCGTTGATGACCAGCGCCGTGTCCTTGAATCCCGCCTTGCACGTCGAGATGAAGTACTCGCTGGCCAGCTCGATGTACTGTCGGTTGAAGGTCTGCTTTCGCTCGTCGTCGAGTTTCTCCCAGATATCCAGACCTGACTTCATCCTCACGATGTTTGTGGCTTGGCCGAAATTACCCGGCTGGATGATGCTGACCTGAACGTGGAAGAATGAGAAATTAGAGGCTGCATTCTTCTCTTAAATTAAGATACTATAACGATTATTATGATAATATAACAACGTCACGCTCGTGTGTAACTACAAAACTTAAATGAAATAAATAATTTGACTTAAAAATGATGAAATAATAAGACAAATAAGTTAAATATGTACCTTAAAGTTAGCAATTATTAGTTCGGTATTAAAATGCCCAACAGCCAATTGTCTTATCATCTCAAAACTATGATATAAAAAGTAGAACATTTTAATTACTAGGTCAAATTAAATCATAACATTGGCAGCTTGTAATTAAAAAGGATTGTTGAACTAATTGAGTCAAATTAATTCTCTCGTTCTTAAGAAGAAAGAAATGTGAACATATGACGTCAAAACAAAAACTCTCAAACTCAGTTTCCCCAAAATCACTTTATCTCCCTATGACACCTCGTGCTCCACAGTGTGTGTGTGTGTGTGTGTGTGTGTGTGTGTGTGTGTGTGTGTGTGTGTGGTTTCACAGGATTACCGCACCTTCACACCAAAACTGGCCATTTCCACTCTCAAGCAATCTGCGAAGGCCTCCAGGCCCCTCTTGGACACGCTGTACGCTCCCATGTTCAGGCAGTTGAAGAAGGAGAAGATGCTCGACACGTAAACCATTCGACCTGTGAACAGAGAACATCGAGGTTCACATCACCTGTACGATGAACACGCGACCGCGGAGTCCGACATCTTACCTTTAGCAGCACGAACCAGAGGCAGGAATGCGATGGAGGTCCTGATGCAGCCAAATAGGTTGATGTCGACCATGTTGCGGAAATCTTCAAACGTGCTCCACTCGATCTCGGCCCAGTCGCTGATCCCAGCGTTGTTCACGACGGCCCACAGACCTGGAACGTAGAGGTCAGAGGTTATGACTCAGAATGAAACTGAAATGATTTAAAGTGTCTCATGGTGCATTTTCCTTTCTCATGTCACAATGAGAAATAAAAGCACTTAAATGTACAGAAGCTCATTTCAAACAGACAAATACAATTTCAGATGATAAGAATAATATTTAATTTTAAGTCATGAATGCAACTCGTCTCTACACATTCACAGATTCTTATTTCCACCAGTGACAGAAGAAAAACAAAGACATGATGAAAATCTAAATTTAGACATTGTAGTTCAAAATGTTAAGATAAAAAAATGAATACTACAACAAATATATCTGAAAACATGTGCACAGATCATTACTGTGTGTTTTCTTTACTTTGAGTGATCTGTGTGAGCTCTCACCCTTCTCCGGCAGGTTCTCCTGGACCAGCTTCTTCGCCTGCTGCACGTCTTCATCCTTGGTGACGTCCAGCTTGAGGATTTTCAGTCTGCTGGACGTCTGCCTGATCAGACTCTGGGCCCCGATCCCCTCTGGATACAAGCACCCAGCGAAGACCACAAACCCTTTGTGGTTCAAGCATCGAGCCAAATGGTGTCCGAAGCCGCTGTCGCAGCCGGTGATCAGCACGGCGTGGCCGTGACCGTCCTCCATGTGGCTGAGACGGTGGCGAGAAACCAGCTTGGCCAGGAGGAAGAGCAGGATGGCCGAGATGGGGACGATGCCGATGATTTGACCGATGAAGACGGTGTTCATGCTGAAGCGTCTGTGCAGCAGCGTGTCTGAGGACTGTCGTTAGTGCAGCCGAGCTCACGCTATATACCCATTCACAACACTGCATCAATTGACTGAGAGGGCTGTGTGGTTTTGAGACGTGTTGGTGTGTGTTTGACACAATTTGTTCAGGCTTTCATGTGACTTTAAGAGACAACCTTAGCTCATCCACAGTTTTGTCAGTCTACATGCTGAGGATGTAGAAATGAATTTGTCAGGGTCACACCTCTGGCACATTTAGCACAAGAGAAATTCACATTATGTTATATTATATATATAATATTAAACTGTTTTTTCAGGTCAGGATCTGAGAGGGCGCTTCAGTTCTACCTCAGGTGTTTAACTCCAGGGTCGTTGGGAGTCGCTGAGGTTTACCTGAGAGTCTGTGGACCTGCGTCACCTCCAATCACTGAGTGTTAGAGAGCGACGTGCACGTACATGTACGTCCCAGCTCCAGCCTTAGATTGAATTCTGTGGGAAACACTGCACAGAGAGTGAAACAGATTCTTCTCTGATCTGCTCATTAATTTGGATCCTGTCCAGGAGGTTTTGCTGAATCCTGCTAAATAACAAAGTGAAAACATTGTCCTCCTGTGTCAGCTCAGCTCATAAATAAAGGTAGAAATATCTAAATAAATGAAGTAATACATGTGAGAAATAGTATTTTATATCACGTCCACAGGTGGTTATGTCAGAGCAAGATTTCACAGAAACAACAGAAGTGGTTTCCATGAATCGTGGGAGACGGCTGTGGTTTGATTCAGGGAAAAACTTGTTAAATTCTGGATCAGGGCACAGATCCAGGTTTTCTTTTCACTTTCTTTGACATGGTTAAATATCAAGTTATTCAACTTTTGATTTCCCAGAGATTATTTCAGGGTCATTTGGGGAATAGATCATTAAGTGTTCGTGTTATTTGGTTCATTATAAAACTCATGTCTCGAAAACACATGGAGATAAAATAATCATTTAATGCTGATTACATTTTGATGCATTGGGATTCTGTGACAGTGAGTGAGTAAATCACAAAACCCACAGTGACGATACCATTAGTGACTCAGTAAATCTCTATCTTAATAATTATTAATAATTAAGTCTCTATGTTAATATTAACTGGATAGAAAACAAACTGTTGTCATATTTATTTCTGCATTCAAGACAAATGTGAGAAATGATGAGACAGAATAAAAACCGAATGATCAGTCTGACCGTGGTTCATGTTACAGTAAAATGCTTTTTTACTTAACGTGTCACATACGATGGAGCCAAACAAACTGCGGTGGCTTTACAGAGCAGAGCAATGACGCCTCCTGGTGGTACAAACAGATCATTGCAGATTAATGTGGCAGGAGTGTGAGAAAACAAATAAACGAAAAAATGCCCAAGTAAACACTTTAATTCATTTTAGCTGCTTTTGAACATTCTGTCTCTGCACCAGTTTGAAATCCTGATGAAAAAAAGAAACCAACTGCATAGAAAGTAAAGAGAGGAATAATCTTCTTGTTATTTCTTTTCATGTTGTCGCCTCCTTCTGAGGAACATTTTCACTTTCCTCAATATTTGTGGCCACAGTTACTGACCCTCAATGAGCTGCAGGTTTTTATTTGTCACCATCAACAGTGAGGGAAAGATAATCCTAGAGAAAACTGTAAAACTGTGTGGTACGATATGATTCCTTTCTAAATGGGTCACGCTGGTGAGGATTTAACGTCCTGCTAAAGGGCACTTCAGAAGTTACGAGGGCCTGACAGCACATTCATGGAAACATCATTTAAAGAAGATCCGAGTCTGCTTTTTTGGACAATATTAAAAAATATAGATTTACGTAAACCTCATATTTTGAATGCAATCTGAATATGGACGCCTTAACATTAGTCTAAAGCTTCTGATGTCGTAACTGCATAGACACATATAGTCTGAGAACAAATATGTCCTTATACTGCTGACACAAGGCTACTGTCTGTTCTAATTTTCTTGATTTCCATACGTAATAATGTTTGTGAAAGGAATAGAGATTATATCAGTGCTCGATCAGGAAGGAGGCGGTGCCGGTCACTTCTAAATAAAGAGCTTGTATTCAGCAGGTGTTGTGTGATGAGACAGAAATACAGCAGCTACAATCAGTAATTACACTAAGGTCGTAGAAATCTGTGGGTTCAAAGCCTCCGACACCAGAAGACGTGATGGGTGAACTGATCCGTGTCTGGATGTTCGTGGTTGCACCCGGTTTCATGTGGTTTCCTCCCAAAACACAGTGGTCCAATAATATGGAAACATCCCAACGCACCCGTGTCTGCGGTCCCGTCAGGTTTCCACTTTGCCGTAGGTGCCGTCAGGTGGTCGGTAGTGTTTGGGGAAGGCTTTGAGCTGCAGCGAGTTGAACGCGTACTTCCGACATCCGACGTTCTTCACCGTGTTTTCTCGTCTGCAGCCCTCGCTGAGGAGACAGAACGAGAGGGACAATCACATATCACATGATTTATTCCCACGTCCTGACCCACGATGTAAAAAACAACGAGGTGTCTCGCTTCTCTGCTTGTGTTCGACTCACCTGAGGCGCATTTTGTTTGATGACGCGAGGTTCAGAGATGCAAAGAGTGAATAATAAAACATGAAACCAACTTTAAATACCTAAAAAATGTCACCGGAGTCGGTTTGATTCTGCAGGTGGAGGCAGAAATCATTTATTGGGGAAGGACAGCGGTTTCCAGGACACACTGACGGGAGGTTCTCTAGGGTTTGTGGTACATTGAGTGCAACATGTAGCACGGGACACAAGACTAGAGCTTTCAACATAAAACTCATTTATTAATTAAACAAGGAAATGCAATAACTTGTTTTTAACATAATTCCTGTCTGCACTTGATATTTATGATGATTTACATGGTGGTTAAAAGTTACATGCAAACTGTCTCTATCAACAGTTTAGAAACAGTGTGAGAAACAGTTAAATTAACAGTTAACAGTCATGAAGAAGGAAAACCGATGTATGTATATTGCAGTACTACACAGACGTTAGTAGCTGTGATATAAAGTGACGAGAGCAGGAGCATGGCACAACCATAGTATTCATATAATATGGATTATTTATATATATATATATATGTATACTCTATGTAATAAGTAAATTTAATTTATATATATATATTTGTAGCAAATGTTTAGGCAATACAAGCATTTAAATACAACGTATGTACAGCAGTACGAGTATATTCTCTGATACATAATAAAAGAAAGATTAAACTCTTCTTGACGGTGATCGTAGGAAGCACTTCAGTGTGTTAACGGAACTCTGAGGAATGAATCCGACGTGTGTTAGATATTTGAATTATTATTTCACTGGGTCTTATCCTTGAAAACACTTTCAACATGTTACACGGAACCACTGCTGCTTCCTCACGTCCCTGCTTGTCGATGATGATGCATATTTGTTAGATGTGTATTCATAATATTTCAATTAAACTCAAAGTTCTACAAATACCGTTACTTTGGTCTGACAGAGGTAGCGCTGAACAAGATGAACACATATATTATATTATTATTATGTTCCTTAAAAAGTGAATGAATAGTTTGACAGGTTGGGAAATTTGTTTTGTCGCAGAGACGAGTTTGAAATTGATTCCACGTCTGTGCGCTAAATCTGAAGCTAAAGCTAGCAGCTGGTCGGTTATCAATCTTTTTATCTGATTAATAATTCCCAACCTATCAATCTGTTCTTCTCTGCTGCTCACTGCAAAGTGTTTTCTGGTTCAACCTGTGTGTCGGAGGTTTGTGGGGTCATCGGAGCACGATCGTCTCCCAGAGGAGGTTATTTTGGTCTGATCTATTCCCTCACTGGGTCGATCTTAATGGGACGGAGCCTCAAAAATCCCGGAAGGAGACTTGATGCTTTCAGACGAATCCACGAGGTTCAGTCTGACTCGATCTCTTTGCAAACACAAACCTAACAGAGCTGAGTTCACCTGATAAAAACCTGACGGAAGCGTTCGGCACGAACACGACTTCATTCCTCATTCGTTCATCTTAAAGCTCAACAACAAACAAAGTGGCCACGACATCCACCGTGTAGAACTCTGTAAAGCTAGTTTCAACTATAATAGCTGCGATCTGTACCCGTTTGTCTTTGTTACAATGAACAGAGTGGACACAGATAAATGCTCTGGAGGTTAAAGACACATTACTACACTACATGAACACGTTTCCCCTGAATGTCCTATTGTCGTACATTCCACCAGGAGCCGATTACAAACCCTAAAAAAAGAAGATTGAACTTCGGAGCAAATCTTGTCACTGAATTGATATGAGAGCAGATGTGGGCTGAATGAGTTACTCACTGATTCTCATGACCGGGAATCAAACATGTCACCGTCTCCATGAATAACCTGAACCCATAAACACCTCAGCCAGATGACAACAGCTGTAAATAAAGATGGATGACTCTCCTCCTCTTCATCCCTCTTTCCAGGATCAAGGTCATCTCTGGACTCGTAAGATATTTAAAAACATGCATGTGCGGCAAAGGAGAGGGAAAAGGGAATAATGTTTATTTTTAAGTCTGGCTGATGCTTTCATGAGTTCCCGTCACGTTCGGAGGAACTAAGCGGATTGTTTGATTTCATTTTCTAAACATTTGTTAAAGATAAACGTCAGTGAGAAGCAACATCCGACCCAGATCTGCTGGAAAGTGCTCAGGCTGAAGTGGAAGCAAACAACAACCTCCTGCTGTTGCAAAAAGCAGGAAGACCGAAAATTAAAATGATGCCTGAAGAGAAATAAAATCTGAAGCAGCTTCTGTTTCCTCGGCTCATGGAAGACGATGATGAATCAAACAAGCTGAATGTATTGCGTGGATGCAACGAGCAGCCGCTTCTGCAAAGCTCAGATCGTGTGTTTGTTTCATTATGACAGCTCCGATCAACAAGAACTCTTTCCTGAAAGCAAGTATCAACAATAATCTGCTTTTTTTTTTTTACACATATTCA